TCAGAGTTATTAAATTGGAAGCCTGTATAAATGCTTATCTTACAATGTGCCATACTATACAATCTTCTGCTTTTGTCAGTCCTTAACATCTACCTCTCTGAATTTTCATGAATTTCTGTTACACAAGGGTGATTATTTTATATACACTGGCAGCAGCATACAAATAAAATACTCAGTATAAAAAAAAAATTGACTAGTTGAGTGTTACCTTGGGACAGTTTTCCCACAGCTTTGGGACCTACTCAGAGGTGTCTTCAGGACAAGAACAAGTCAGGATGCCTTATGGGAGAGAGGGCAAGGGTCCACTGGTAACCAGGGAACCACATAAAAAGGGTACTGGATGCTTGAACAAAATATAATCTAGTGGGGAAAACCCTAAGTATTTATGACCAAAGCGCTGGTGTGATCATTTATGTAGTATGACCATGGGAATTTAATTTCTTTAATGATTTCCTTTTTTCTTTTAGGGAAAGAGATACCTTTTTCTTTTTTTTTATCCTCACCCGAGGACATTTTTCCACTTTTTATTCAGATAGAGCAGGAGGAAGGGAGAGAGAAACAGACGTGAAAGGGACACATTGAGTGGCTGCCACCCGCACGACCAATCCAGGGCTGGGGACAAACTGCAACTGAAGCACATGCCCTTAGCGGGAACCGAACCCGGGTCTCTCTGGACCACAGGCCAACACTCTAACTGCTGAGCCAAACCAGCCAGGGCGAGAATACCTTTTTAATCTAAGCTTTAAGGAATGCTAGTCTAAATGACCATTTAAACGTTATCTAACATACCACATGACCACAGCAAAATCTTTTTTTGTTAGTCCTCACCCAAGGATATCCTTCCATTAATTTTTTGAGAGTGGAAGGGAGGGAGAGCAAGAGAGAGAAACATTGATGTGAGAAATACCCATTGGTTGCCTCTTGCACACCGACTGGGGCCAGCAATCAAACCCGGGATCTTCAGTTCCCAGGGCCAACACTCTGAGTGCTGAGCCAAACTGGCTAGGGCGCAAGAACTCAGGAAAATGTCAAATTTCCTCAATTCTTATGCGACACTAACACTTTTAAGCATGGTTTAGAATTCTAGATGGCCTGAGATTCTATTATACTTGTGAAACTGTGATAACAATTTTGGCAAATTGCAACTAGGAGACATGATTATGTATTGTTTTTAAAAGCACAAAGCTTTTTGTCTCCCCAAACAACGTATAAGTGCTATCTAGCAAATTGTGTGCCCCACCAAATTCGTATGTTGAAGCACTAACCCACAATGTGGCGGTATTGAGCTGGGACTTTCGGGATGGGATAGCATCTTTGTGGAACATCCAGGAGCTTCACCAGAGAGCTAGCTCTCCCCATTCCAGCACACGAGGGCACCGAAGGGTGGCCACCTGCAAGTCAGGAAGCACCCTCACCGGGGAATCAAATTGGCCAGTGCCTGGATCTCAGATCTCCTAGCCTCCAGAACTGAGAGAAATAAATGGATCTTGTTTAAGCCACCCAGTCTGATGTTTTGTTACGGCAACCCAAGTTGACTAATACTGTAGGTAAAATACATAGTGGAAGAATGGACCTGGTGGGTAGCTCAGTTGGTTAGAGCATTGTCCCACTACGCCAAAGTCTCGGGTTCAATCCCCAGTCAGGGCACATATAAGAGTCAACCATTGAATGCATAAATGGTGAAACAAACGTTTCTTTCTAAATCAATCAATTAATCAAAATTTTTTTTTTTTTTTAAGTGGAAGAATGGAATTGCTCTAGTGAAAGCAGGGAGCAGAGACAGGCTCTGCCTCCTCAGCTGGAGCTCCAGAGCACCACAAAGCATAGTATGAAAAGAAACTGTTTAATGCACCAACATAAAAACCTGCCCAAATAAGAATAATGTTCAAATGCTACAGGAACAAATTCTAGGAGCTGGCCCATTCTCTTCTGGTATTGAAATTCTAGCCTTGTCTTATTTAAAATAAATGAGCTAACAGAATTCTATATTGCCTGAGAAATCTGTTGCAAAAGGGTTGGTGCTAAGATTTTGTTTGGTGGTAAAAAAAACAAAACAAAACAACCCTGCTTGGGCCCTGGACGGTGTGGCTCAGTGGTTAGAGCGTCAGCTTGCAGTCCAGAGACCAGGGTTCGGTTCCCGCTAAGGGCACGTACCTCGGTTGCAGTTTGTCCCCGGCCCTGGTTGGGTTGTGCGGGTGGCAGCCAATTGATGTGTCCCTTTCATGGCAACATTTCTCTCTCTCTCTCTCTCCCTCCTACTCTACCTGAATAAAAAATTTAAAAAATGTCCTTGGGCGAGGGAAAAAAAAGAAAGCCGGGGTGGTGGCAGCAGGGGCAGATATAACTTTGTATATACAGAGAACCTGGCTACAAAGAATAGCTTGGCCCTGAAGGGAGAAGAGGAAACTCACATTGGCACCATGTTGCTGAAAGAGGGTTTGTGGAGGAAGGGTTGTTCCCAGATAGCCCATATAAATGCCTTAGTGAATGCAGTTCACACACAGAGGGGCATCTCAGGCCCTTTGTCTTTCTTTATGTCAACAAATTTGCAGTTAATTAGGCTCTGGACTTGTTCAAGGAAGCCCAGAATAGGGCCTAAGAATAAAATACATAGAAAAACTGTAAAGCCATGAAAATACATTTTAAAAAAGTTTTCAGGTATAATACACAAAAGCAAACAAGTTTATCTTAAAAAATATCAAGTATCACATCCATAGACTATTCCTAATTATAATTACTTCTTAAAGCAACATATTTGTCTTTGTTTACAAATACAGCAGCAGGTGATAAAACCTAACGTCTGAACAGATTGCTTACAGTTCATAATACAAACAAATGTATATGTCTCAAATCACATTTTAGGCAGTTTAACTTAAAATGCATAGACAATTACATACATTAAATTTGTCATCATTAAGTCAATAAAAAAAATAACAATATCAAGAAAAAAATACAAAAAAACCTTTATAGAGCACAAAGAAATCAAGTTTACTTAATGGCAACAAATCAGTATCTGCTAATCAATGACAGGCAGTGAAAGTGCCTTTATCCAGGGGAAAAGAGGAAAAACATCCCATTAATTTGCATGCTTCAAAAGTTATACTGACAAACCTGTAATTTTGGAAAACATTAATTTCTTACTTAAAAAAGAAAAAAAAAGGTATAGTATACTTTGCTCTTTAAAATGCCCAAAGGCTGGTCTAGAATTTCCACCAGCAGGAATACCAAAATAAGTTGATCTAGGTGGTTGAACTAATAATGGGTATACTAATGAGTTCTGTAATGCCATCCCTAGGCGGTGACCCTCTCAAGGACAGGCATTTTCTTTCCTCTCTCTCTGGCATCTGGCTAAGCACCTGGATCACAGACATTTAAGTGTCTGTTGAATGAATGCAGTTCTCAGAAATATTCTACAGCCAGAAGCTTGCATGGTATTTCTTTAATACTGATTATTTTATTGGCAACTTTTAATTGGCAGAATTCTGAAAATAAAAAGAGCAGTGTCTTCCTACTAAATATTGCTCTATTAGGATTAGTCTTCCCTGAAAGCCACCCACCACTTTCTATGCATAGCACAGTGTATCAGTGTGATTCTTCTGCATTTAGCCTTCTGCTTTTCAAAAACGTTAACACTAGAAGGTCTATGCTCAGGTTTAATTCCTAGGGTTTACAACCGTGGCATTTTAATAAAGCTAGCACTGGATTATTCAGGGTGAGGAAGACATGGCACTAATCATTTAAAAGTGTAGGCAACTGATTGGTAGGCAAACTAGGCACAGTATTTTTATTGAAACTTTTAATAGAGCTATGGTTTATCTACACATAGTTTCAAAAGCTGTATATCTGAGTATAATAGGTAGCACTAATTATTTATGAGGTAAAATGTCATGGGCACAACTTCTTTCCTACAAAATATTCTAATATTCCATTGTAGTGGTGTGACAGCTCAAGGCCAAAAATTCACCCCTTTTCTTCTGTCCTATTACTGTTCTCTACTGAAAACAATGAACAGTAAAATGGACAGGTCTTGTTGCTCCTTCCAGCCAGAGCAAGGCCATAGATTGCCACGATCTCATCAGGTACAAGCTCTTGTGAATGTGCTTTAAATATACTAAGATATGGAGACAGGGTCAAGGAGCTGAACCCCCAGAATGCCCAGTGGGGAGCAGCCAACTCAAATAGAAACAGAAGAGACAGAAGCCAGCTCTCATGGGTCCCTGATCCCTTTGATTGCAGGCCATTTTTCTAAGGAAGAAGAGGAACTGTCTTCTCAGATGTCCAGCTTTAAATGAAGCCATGACTCAGATCAGGGAACTGGAGGAGGGCCATGGAAGAACTCAAGGAGATTATACAGCAAGGGCTAGGCTGCCTTGAGCTCTCTGAGATGACTGAGCACCCAGACTACAACCTGGAGACCTATGTGAACAAGGTAGTCTGCCCTGGCCCAGCAAACCAAGCACCTCTCAGCCCTGCAAGGTGTCATCAAGGCCTTGCGCCTGTCCATGGAGCTGGAAGAGCAGGCCACCAAACACATAAGCAGCAAGAAAAGAAGAAATGCCCCAGTGACACTGCAAATATAGATGTTTGATTTAAACATCAAAAAAGTCTTGTCTGCTCCTGCATAATCAATAAATACCAAAACAGGGCTGTAGAGTCAGAGCTGCAAACAGCCATCCTAAAGCATGAAAAGGTCAGGTAATTCCAGTAAAGACAATCCAAGGTACTTTATAAACTCCTTTAATAAGGTGCCTTGAGTCTTGGGAACTGAATGTGTGAATATATGGTCTATATTTTAATTTTTTGTCATTTTTAGGTTTAACATTTCAAAGTCTAACTCAAATTACAGAAACACTGTTCCTCAATACATCTCAACAATCTCCACCAAATTTACTTAAAAATTCCTGCTCTTAGCTGGGCTGGTGTGGCTCAGTGGATTGAACATTGTCCCACGGACTGAGAGGTCCTGGTTCAATTCCATCAGGGTGCATGCCTGGGTTGTGGGCTAGATCCTTGGGGGGTGGGGGGTAGGAAGAGATCGATGTTTCTCTCTCTCTCCCTAAAAAAAAAATCAATAAAAACATATTAAAAAATTCTTGCTCTTAAATCCAAATGCCAGCGTATTCCATACTTCATATTCACTTATGACTAAATACTTGGTAACAAGTAGTCTTCCATAAACTCATCTTAGCCTAGAATGACTTATTTTTTAAAGTAAATTATTCCCTTGTAAAAAGAAATATTCCTTAGATGTTTCCCCCACTGAAACGTCCGATTTTAACTCCACCCTGAACCTAAAAATATTTATTGCCCAGAATACCCTTGAGAATTGTGGCACCTTTCCCAATTTCAGAAATTAGACTCTAAAGAATTACAAATATAAAAGCAAATTCTGTTCCCTTTGATTTCCATTTTTCATAAGACAAAACAAAACAAAAAACCTCCAAATATCAGTTGGAAAGTCACTGTAAAGCAAAGGTTAAAATAGCAGTATTGTCTAGGGAACACTGAGCAGTATAGGCCACTAGCAAAATTAACATACTGGGAACAGTAATTCCAAATCTTGTGTTCATGGCCCCTCAAATCCTTTAACAAAAGATTTTCTGCAGTAATAAATGGGCTCCTCAATTACAGACCCTCAAAATGGCTACCTCTTTTTAGTTAAACATTATCCTTCCTAGTGTTACATTAAATATCGCACCTAAAGCCAGAGTTGTCGACTTAATCCTAATGCATGGCAACCAAAATAAGCATAAGATACCTTCTCTGCCATCTCAGTTTTCCTATCATCTTATGCCTCCAGGGTTAGCTTACATAATACTGACTGATAATTTATGATATGACACCTTCTAGGGCTATCTGCTTTGTAAATTGAAGGCTACTTTGCAACAGACTCCAACAATGTTGTAAAATAGCTGCCACGTGGCCTTGCAAGGAAGTGAAAGATAAAAAGACCATTTGAGCCACTATATTATAAACTAACACTCACTATCTGAAAATATCTAAACAAATTAGTTTCAATTCTGGAAGCTTGAATTTATCATCTACTTATAAAAGGGAGGTTTAACACTGAATGTTACTCCCAAAGGTGACCATCTTGCTTTCTTAAAAGGAGGTAGCTATCAAACCATTACATTGGCAGCATTTGGCATTCTTGACATTTTAACTATAAGAGAAATAAACTACTAAAATACTTTATTTCTAAGCAAAAACAAGAGTGCTAGCATAAATCTGTCCTATACTGGTGAAGAAATTCACAATACATTTTAGTAATCCAACGGATATATTTTAAGTTTCAAAATGTTATTTCACAAATAGTCAGTTCTATCCCAAAATTAAGAATCTGATTTAAAGATAAGGTGCCAAAAAAACTACTCAGACTATTTTGATGGTTACAAACAACAATTATTTAAGTAATACAATCACACTTCTTTAAACTCAATTGCAGAGATCTACAATTTATTATTTTCAGTGTTAAAGTAAGAGAATAATTTTCAAGATGGCACTTAATTCTACCTATTTACCTGTTAACAAATACAGAACTGAAACCATAGCACTTTACAAACAGATCCAGGAAACTATGCAAGAGACAATGACATAGCTTAACCAGACTCTGAAAGACAGATACAAATTTTTGATCACACTTGTACAAAAAGAATAGTCATGCCTGTGTGACTAAGGTTCTTTAAACATAACCGCTATATCGTGTTTATGACAGACCCCTAGAGTGTGCCAGTTTTCCGTATCAGGGAGGAATTAAGGGATGTGCTCCTAAAGAACTGAGGGAAAAGGCGCTACCAGGAAGGCTCTGGGTGGAACAGTGATTCATGGGATTGCAAATTACTTGTCACTATGATGCAACTCCCAAGGTTTCTCTAGTTTGAGGTTCAAGACAAAGGAGAGAATTATTTCCTTCCTTGAGCTCTTCCCAAAGCAATGTGGACATCCAATCTATTCTAAGGTAATACAGAGATCACCCATTCTTTAAGAGCATAGTTTACATACATGTTGGCCTGCATTAAAAAGGAGAAAGTTTCCATAAATGGCAGATTTTAGAGCTGGTTGACCTATTTGGCTAAGTAACATAAATCAGGTGAACTCAAAATCAAAGTTTTTACTAAAATCTCAAGGATAAAAATGAACACTGCCTAATAAACTCAACATCTGACAATAATTGCTGCCAGTTTTAAAATGTATATTCAAAACAGAACCTCAGGAGAACTAGGTTTATTTATTCTATAGGTAGAACAGCTCAAGATGTTGATAAGCATCATTTGTTTAAATTATGACAATGTTTTCAAAGTGTGTTCACTTAGGGAAAAAGTGATTATAGAAAAATACTTGAAATAATTTGCCAAGGAGGTTGCAGATTCGAACAATAATCCACACATCATCTTAGATTTTTAAGTGTGTAGTTTCATAATTTAAACAAATCCGAACTTTGTTTTAAACAAATTATATCAAAGAGCTATTCAATATACTTATTTTAACTTTCCATAAAAACTGAATAAAAATCACATTTGAATGATTTACTTTTACATTTTTATCTGATTGTATCCATCTGATATATTATACATCCAAGTACAAGAGGCAGATATCTTCTGAGAGGTGCAAGAGTTGTTCTTTCATGAATGCCCTCTAATAGTGAAACCAGCAATTTTTATATATGCGTTCATGCGCATATATATGTACTTCAAAAAGCAAAGCGTCATCTCTTCATCCATTAACTTAATGGTAAGACTGCAATAGAAGAAAAAAAAGTAAACTTCTAGATTTTGTAAAATGGAGTTTATTAACTCCTGGCTGTGGTATAAACTTATTGCTTAATAAATCCAAAGAGCAAGCCATCTCACTTATTTTGGCATACAACTTACAAAAATAACTTTTCAAGAGAACACATAGCAAGAAGTTATACTAATGAAAGGAAACTGGCGGCACTTAATCAAGATTTTCTTCCTTTACAGTTGGGTGGGGTGTGTGTGTGAAGTTAATCTAGTTGGAGATTTGATTATTTTGTTAAGAGTAAATAGATGTTTTCCCTCAAGAAGAATCTTGACTGCATTTGAATACTCACTTGGCTTACTTCATGGGAGAAGTGGGGTGCTTTTCTATTTGGTCATATGCCCAAGATAGGCTCCTCAACTATGATGTCAACCCTACTCCAGCTGGGCTAACAGACAGTAAAGCATAAAGCATTACACATAACTGACAGTTTAGAATATGGTAGAGTCTTGAGCTAATTGCTGCTATGAATCTAACAAAACCTTGGCTAAAAGGCACTATGGAAAGTTGCATAAAAGACAATGTTACACATTCAATGCCCTGGATGCTCTAGTAAAGATCTCTTTGATCTGTTTCTAATAGAATAAAATTTGTGTATAAATGTTATACAAAAATAAACATAATGAGCCCTGGCCAGGTAGCTCAGTTGGTTGGAGCATCGTCCCGATACACCAAGGTTGTGGGTTTCATCCCAGGTCAGGGCACATGTAAGAATCAATCAGTGAATGCATAAATAAGTGAAACAACAAATCGATTTTTCCTCTCTACATTACAAAGTTTTCGGGGATTTTTCAAAATTTTTCCTTTCATTTTTAGTACCGGGAACCATTAACCTGTTTTCATCATTTTAAATGCTTTACCTGAAATTTACTCTACACACACAAACATACACACTTTCTTTTAGAAAGTTTTAAAAGCTTTCTAATCCTTCCCCTCTAACTGGAGACAAATAAATCTTTCAGTTGTGCTTATGTGACTATTGTGCATGCTAAATAACAAATTAAACACTCACATGGGGGCCACCAGGCATTGGTGGAGCACCAGAAGGTCCTGAAGGCACTTGAAAAGGATTATTGGGACTGGGATAGAGTCCTGGTGTGGGATATGATCCTGCAGGGGCAGGATATGGTGCCGGTGGTCCCCAGGCTCCTGGTGGAACAGTGCCCCATGGAACAGGTGGTGCTGCCCCTGGTGCTTGGGGAGGAGGAGGTGCAGGATATGGCCCTGGAGATGGATATGGCATATTAGGGGTAGGATACTGCCCTCCCATTCCTGGTGCCCAAGGTCCAGAAGACATGGATCCCCATGGACCTAAAGGACCAGCTGCAGGTGGATCAGTGGGTGCACCATATGGTCGAGGAAGCTCTGGAAAGGGCATATTTGGTGTAGGATATGGCCCTGTGGGGCCAGGACCTGGCACAGTTGGGGCTGGATAAGGACCACCGGGTGGGGGGCATGATGGTCCAGAAGGAGGAAAGGGTGCTGGGGGTCCTGGAGGTGGTCCAGTGGGAGGCACAGAGGGATACATTCCTGCTGGTGCTGGTCCGAAAGGCACAGTGGAGGGTGGTGCACTTGGTGGGAGTCCGGATGGCACAGAAGGTGGAGCACTTGGGTTATTCCAAGGGTTGGAACCTGGCCAGCCTTGAGGAGGCTGGGTCGGTTTTGTATTGCTCACTGCAGAAGTTTTGGCAGGAGAGTGGTCAGGTAGCGCATCTGCCAACTGCAATACAAAAAAGGCATGTCTTACCGATCGTATTTAGGAGTAAGTCACGCTTAACATGATTATAAACCTCTATAACATCTTCAAAAGCCGTAATGTTCAGTTTAAAAACAACTCATTTAATACAAAACTTGAGGGGTTACCTTGAATATCAACTTTACAATGCAAATTTCTCAAAGAAGCTCAAGTTTCCTAATGCAGATAATTAACACTGTAGATTTGAATCCCAGCTTTATCTCAAACAAGTTATATACTTTCTCTGAGCTTTAGCTTCCTCAACAAACAGTTTTAGGGTTAACTTGAGGCTTAAATGAGATAATTTAAGTAATGCAGTTAACACAGTGCCTGGTATTTAATTTTCAATGAACATTGGCTATTATTAATAATATGAGGTTAAAAGAGAACAGAATACTTAAGGATTCATACAGAAACACTCCAATATATATTTTCAAACGTTATATATAAGCAAATTAAGGCAAATAACCTAACAAAATTGCATACCACTCCCCCCACACCCACAGACCAAAACCCAAGAATCACAGAAAGCATCTCTTTTAAATTGAAAGACTTATGGCCACTATTAGAACTATGCTGTTTTCTTAAGAGCTAAAAAACTTATAAAGAATAAGTGCATCAACTTACCGAAAATTCATCAGACATTTTCCTAAAAACAAAAACAGAAAGAAAGGAAGAAAAAGAAAGGAAGAAGGAATATTTCAAAACCAGCTTTTACTATTTCTTATATATTCTTTAAGGAACTTTCTTTGCATACATTATTTTTATTTAACTGGAATCTTAATCATTCACATAAAGTGTTTTTCTTTATGCAGGAAACATTTCCGTAACAATTTATATAGCTCTATCAACTTCATCCCTTTTTACTGGCTGCACAGCATACAAAAGTGATCCATAATTCAGTTTACACACTCATTTTGGTGGCAGTTTAGTTTGTTTGCATTTTACATTGTTTGAAACAATGACAGCATGAACATGTCTGAACACGTATCTTTGCTCACTCGTGAGATCTATCACCAGGAATTTTACTAGAAGTAAAATTTCCAGTCAACAGGTAGTTATCTAAATTCCACCTCAAAAGCCTATGCCAATTTTAAAGTCCCTTGCCAATTTACATTTCCTACCTTCTCTTCGCCACCACATATAATAAAATTTATAAATTTTCAATTATGGCACCTTGTTTTAACTGATAAGTAGCAAGTAGAGCATCTTTTAAATTTAATACTTCATCTATACTTCTTTTTCTGTAAATCTGCTCATGTGCTTGGACCACTTTAATTAACTTTTAAATTGAAGTAAATTAACACTTAATAAAATGCAAGGATTTTAAGTGTTAGGTCAACAAGCTTAACAAGTCTGTGTGTCCAAGATACAGAACATTTCCCTTACTCGAGGTTTAGCCATGCTCCTCTCCAATCAACTCCCCTTCCTACCTGGTAATCAGTTTCTGACTTAATTTTTTAAATTTCCTATGAATAGAACAAGAGAGTATGCAGTCTTTTGCCCTTGATAAATTTACTACTTAGTAGTATACATCTTTCTTAAAAAAAAAAAAACAAACAAAAAAACAACTTTGTAAGATAGTAAGGAAATTGGCTAGCTCTGTCATATATGAGACAAAAAATAAATAAATTTATCCGGAATTCCCTTTATCTGTAGATACTTTAAATGTTATTTTTTGGGGGTACTACAAATATTTTTAATTTCATATAGTTGAACTATCAATCTTTCCAAAGTATATGTGGCTTCTGTTTTATAAAGTCCTCGTCTACTCCAAGTTTATAAAAAAATTCACCAGCCCTGGCCGGTGCGGTTCAGTTGGTTGGAGTGTCATCATGTATACTGGGAGATCTTGGGTTTGATTCCTGGTCAGGGCATATACCTAGGTTGCAGGTTTGATTCCCCAGTCAGGGCGTGTACGGGAGGCAATTGAACAATCTCTCTCTCTCACATCAATGTTTCTCTCTCTCTAATAAAAATAAATAAATAAATCACCTATGTTTTCCTACAGTATTTTTATGGTTTAATTTGTTTAAACTCTTTCTGTTCTTCCAAACAATAATTATGGAAATATCTATCTTTTCTGAACTGATCTGTGGACCTACCTTTAACATATTCTACTGTTATTAACAACTAATATTAGCCCTGGCCAGGTAGTTAAGAGCATCGTCTTGATAACCCAAAGTTTCAGGTTTGATCCCTGGTCAGGGCACATACAAGAATCAATCAAAACAAATAAGTGGGCCCTGGCCAGTTTGCTCAGTGGTTAGAGCGTCGGCCTGCAGTTCAGAGAGACCTGGGTTCGTTCCCGCTAAGGGCGCGTACCTCGGTTGCAGTTTGTCCCTGGCCCTGGTTGGTCGTGCAGGTGGCAGCCACTCGATGTGTCCCTTTCACGTCCATGTTTCTCTCTCTCTATCTGAACAAAAAATGGAAAAATGTCCTTGGGTGAGGATAAAAAAAAAACATGAATAAGTGGAATAAAAAATCGATGTCTTTCTCTCTCCGTTCCCTCCTCTCTAAAACCAATAAAACAAAAACAAAACAACAACGAGTATTTATTGAACATCCATGGAACAGGCACCATGCTAAGTGCATAATCTCATTTAGTAGCCTCAAAGCCCTACAAATGCAAATTCTATTACCACCCCCAGTTTACAGCTGACGAAAAGGAGGCTTATCAAGTTAACTTGTTTAAGATCACAGAGCTAAATGACCAGTGGAGAAAGGGTTCAAACCCAGGTATAGCCTAATTCCAGAACCAAGCCTCTTTACCACCACCCCGCCATCATTTCCCACAGGTACTGTGGACTCTCTTTTCTACTAATCTGCACCACAAAATTCTATCTTAATTATGCCAGCTTTAGTTTGTAATATATTTTAACATCAGTTGCCCTATTACTATTCGTTTTTTCATATTATTCTGAGTATTGTCATGTTTACCTTTTTCAGATCTTTTTATAACAAAAATTCTAAAAAATGTTGATGTTCTGGCCCTGGCCGGTATGGCTCAGTGGTAAGAGCATCACCCACAGACCAAAGAGTCCCAGGTTCGATTCTGGGCAAGGGCACGTACCTTGGTTGCAGTTCATCCCCAGCCCATTTGGGGTTATGCGGGTAGCAACACCTTATCGCAACACTTTATCGTGTCTCTCTCACATCTCTCTCTCTCTCTCTCTCCCCCCCTCCCTCCCTCCCTCCAGCTCTATCTGAAGATTAAAGTAAAAATATTCTCAGGTGAGGATCCAAAAAAATATGTTGGTGTTCTGGTTGGAATTGCATTAAATTTACAGATTAATTTAGGGGACATTTGATATATTTAAAATATCAAATCCCATTCAAGAACAAGGCATGTTTTCCTAGTTCCAATAACTGTCATTTATTATCACTTAGTAGTTTTAAAAAATCATGTCTCCTATACATTTCTTGTGAGGTAGATTTCTAACTGGTAAAATTTTTCTTGTGGTCATAAAATTGGCTTTCACTGTATTTCTGATTGGTTATTCATATGTTATATGGCAAAGGCTTAAAATTTTTAGTGTACTACTTTTGTAAGCAGCGAATTACTGAATTATTTTATTCTTGAAAGTTTCTCAGTTAATTCCCTGGCATTTCCAGGTAAAGAATTATAGCATTTGCAAAAAATAATTTTACCCTCTTTTCCATCTTTACAGCTCTTTTCTCTTTCATATCAACTAGGACTTAAACAACAAAAAAATGTTAAATAATGAGAGTAAGCACTTGTTCCCAACTCTCCTGTTTAAGTTAATCCTCATTTTTAGTTTGAGGTTGAAAAATTACATTAAAGAAGTTTTTGTTTACGCCTATATTGTTATAATTATTTATTCCTATACACTAGTGTTCTTCAGAAGGTCTTTTGGCATCTAATGAGTTGATATCAGTTTTTTTCTCCTCTGACCCCATCAACAGTGAATTTTATATATACAGATTGCTTAATATTGAGCCACCCTTGCATTCGTAGAGTCATTATTAAGTATAATTTGGTTATCATAAGGAATGATGAAGAAACAGAACACGAGGCTTACTAATTCACAACTGCTATAACTTTGCTTTTTATTCAGAATATGAAAAAACTCAAATGTATAGCAAATATAATTATCCACTCATTCCAAAGTTAAGGTTTGTTTTATACTAAAAGTCAGTCACATAATAGTAAATTCTTAGGACTAACTAACACCTGAAGAAACTTTTATCAGTGAATTGCAAGTCTGAAGTCCACAGTAGGCTAACATGCTTCCAACAGGGTGAACCTTGCTGAAACAGAAAATGGTTGTGTCAAAGTTCACATTAATTCCGGAGCAGAGAACTAACAAAGCAAGCAATTCAATTTCATATGGTCTTGCTGTTCAAATGTTCAGAATTATTCTTTTCCCTCTTAGTTTTTGAAAAACATACATACATAATATAAAGTTAACTAGTCATAGAATTACATCAAAATATAAGTTATACCATAAGTTAACAGTATTAAACAGATTCAAAATTCTTTAAAAACATTTTTTTTAGATTTTTTTCTTTATTGGTTTTAGAGAGAGAGGAAGGGAGGGGGAGAGAGACAGAAGCATCGATGAGAGAGAACATCGATTGGCAGCCTTCTGCATGCCCCCTACCAGGGATTTGGCCCACAACCTGGGCATGTGCCCTGACTGGGAATTGAACTGATGACCTCTTGGTGCAGGGTCGACGTTCAACCACTGAGCCACACTGGCCAGGCTGTCTTTCAAAATTTTTAAAAAATCAAAATCAAATCCTTGAAGGCAGAGGAAGCAATAGAATCTTATTAAAATAATGAAGCTCTGACCAAAGGAACGGAAAATAGGTCACTTCCTGTTCTATACAGGTGCACAATAGTGACTTGCCCTCCATGCCTAGTGTTCATGTTAACTGGAAATAGTCCAAATTTACATCTTGGGGAATACTTTCATCATAAAAAGGTTAAAAAAACAAACAAACAAAAGAAGCAGGACATTAGTTTCAACATAAGAGAGGCAGAATGTTAAAAAAAAAAAAAAAAAAAAAGACTTTCAGATGAGATTAATGTAACCTTGAACTGGCAAAAAAAAAAAAAAAGTTTATAAACAGGGAAGATTTACTTCTTTTTTCTTGGAATAATCTAAAGCTATTCCTTCCAAAACTATGTATCAACTGAAAAATATTCATTTTATATTATGAGCAGTAACAGTAATTTTAAAACTGGTAATTCAATCACAGGAAGGTTTAAGGAAGTTGACCTCCATAAATTACTATTGACTACTGGACAAGAAATATTTCAAAAGACCACCAAATTGCAGTGGAGAAACAGTCTGGGACTACTTGGTTATAAGAACTGCACAACAGTCCTTTAATTTAATTTATTATTTCTTTAAAAAAAATTTTTTTTCTTTACTGATTTTAGAGAGAGGGAGAAAGAAAGATAGAAACATCAATGAGAAAGAACATCTACTGGCCGCCTCCTACATGCCCCCCACTGGGGATTGGGCCCACAACCTGGGCCGGTGACCTCTTCTTGGTATACGCGTCGAAGCTCAACCAGTGAGCCACATTGGCTGGGCTAATTTATTATGTCTTAAAAAGGTTATTTCTGTTTTTAAAAAATTGATTTTAGAGAGGAAGGAGGGAATGGGAGGAAGAGAGAGAGAGAGAGAAAAAAAAGAGAGAAACACTGATTGGTTGCATGCAACTAGACTGAGCTAGAACCTGAAACCTAGGCATGGGTCCTGTCCTGGAATCAAACCCAGGACCCTCAGTTAGGTGCATGGGACGATGCTCCAACCAACCAAGTCACATGGGCCAGGGCCGGACATCAGTTCTTTTAACTGAGTCTTTAGATAAAGACAAGCTTAACCAGAGACCATGTTTTCATCTGCCCAGCAGGTATAATAATTCCTACTACTTCACAGATAATTAAAACTACATTTAATAATTTATCAAGTACTACAGACATGTCAGATGTCTATTATGAGAAATCAGAATTTTTGGTGATTAGTTAGGGGTGATGATGGTAATCAGTGTATTGAAAATACAAATTTTGAATTAAAATATACGACAGTTTTGAGGATTTGGAAGTTTCTGAACATTAAAATTTTTTTTAAAACATAATTTTAAAAAATCATTTTTCCAACTTCTTATAAGCCACATTGTCTACATTTATTCAGCTAGTTCTTGGAACATATGTACTAGGCACTGTGTTGGGCTTTGGGGAAATGAATAGTATTATACAGAATAAATGCTCCAAGAGTTCACAGTCTGGTGTTTAAACATGACTTGGGTTAAACACAGGGCTCTAAGGGAATACTTCAAAGAGCTCCTAAGGAATTAAGAAAGGGAGGAATCCTGAGAAGTGTTCTGTCTCTGCAGTCTCCAAGAACAATAAATAGGGGGATGGTGGATAGGCCTTAGGGAAAGGAGAGCAATTTCTGCAAAAGTTGAGAGGGAGGCCAAAAAAGAATTGTGGGTAGTGTTAGCAGGTCAGATAGGTTAGAATATAGAAAGGGGAGGGATATGAAAGTTTAGCAAAAAAGAGCCTTTAGACCAAGGTTTGAACACCTCAGTCAGTGTCAGTTCACCTGAACAAACCTCAGTTTCTTCTACTGTAAAGAACTGGCTAGTAATGTGACAGACTAAATGGGACTCATAAATCAAGTGCCTATAACACTGGGGGCTAGGAAAACCGCGGGTGGGCAAGAGATATATTCTTTTGTCTTCCTTTGTATATGGGCATACAGCATATGGTTGTAAGAGTGAAGGCTAAAAGTATGACTGACTAGATAAAATGCAGCTCTTCCCTGGCTGGCTCCGGACAAGGTGAACTCTCCAAATCTCAGAGGTAAAAGTAGACAGAAATAGTATCCACCTCACAGATTTGCAAACAAATCTCTTGGGCACTGCCTGGCCTATAGCAAAAACTTAACAAACGTTAGCTTTTACAACTGCTACGATAGATACGTAAACCTTTATCTGCAGTTCTCAACTCAGAAACCTCCAAAATTCAAAGAAACGGTTCTCAAGTATATAGGGCAACTCTTTTGGTGGCAAAACCTGACCTGAGGCTATTTGTAGTTTCCATTAATTCGCTTATGGCTGCACAAATACGAAGGCTGGGTTAGAAGATGCTGCCCCAACCTGCTGGGGGGTGCCACGTCTATGCACTTTATTGTCTTCCTAAAATCTGAAGACAAAATTCAATTTCTAAATTTCAAAACACACCAGGCCCCAGGATCTGTTCCTCCTGGAGGGAGGACAAGAACACGCCAATATTCGAAGTTCCACTCAAGTTCCTGAGACAAACTAATTTTGAATAGGAGGTTCAGAGGCGCCAGCAGCAAGAAAAATGTTTTTTCCCTGCGCAATAAACACTTCTGAACAAAGAACTTCTGAAAGATTTCTGACGACTACCTTCCTTCGCCTGTTATGAGGGTTCGTTTTCGAAACAGGCCTTAAAATCACCAGGTGCACGAGTATTTCTTTAGTGGTAATGCTATAAAAATTTTTTTTCGGTCTGGTGGGCATGGTTTGATGCTTCAACATTAGAATCTTTATATATTAAAAGCACTACTCTTGGTTTTCAAAGAGGAAAATGGCTCAGCTGTTTATAAGCTACCATGCATAATACACGTTCCTAAATCCTAAAAACCAAAATACTACAGAACTCAGTAGTTTCGAATGGGTATTTATCCAATATAATGTACTTGCTAGCAACTCCTCCAGTAAGGATTGACCGGAACGTTGTCACACTCGATAATCTCAAACAAGGGTCAAAGACTCCCCGAAGAATCTTTTCAGGCCTAGCTCTTCCCTTTTATTAGAAATTAATGAATGGGGGAACTCGGGGCCAAGGGGCTCGCGGCCGGCGGCCCTTTAGGGCTAAATGAACAAAGGGAGCCGGGATCAACCGGAACGAACCGGCCTCTGAGCGGGTCTTGCCCGCCCGGCAAGGGGTGGGGGAAGGGCCGGGCCCGCTCCCCGCCCCACCCCCCAGCCAGGCCTGACGTCAGGAGCGGAGAAACCCGTCGGGCGCGACCTCACCCGTCTCCGTCTTCTCCCGGGGGCGGACGGGCAGGCGGGGAACAGCCCGCGGCCCCAAGATGACGGGAAAAAAAACCCTTAGCCCCGGAAGAGCGACTCGAGGCAGCTCCGCTCCCGCGCCCTCCTCCCGCTCGGGCGCGCTCCCTCGCCCCCCTCCGCGACCCCTATTAGTGCCGAAGCAGCCTCACCCGGCAAGATCCGAGGCCGCAGCAAGGCCGAGAAGCAGCGACGGGTCCGAGGAAACCAAGGGCTGAAGTACCAAGCGCAGGCTGACAGCAGCAGCGACGACGGCCCCAGCGGCGGAACCAGCAGCACCAGCAGCAGCACCAACAACGCGCGGCTCCTCCTGGCGCCGGAACAGGAAGCACCGGCGCGGAGCGCACCGCCCCTGCGGGCGCCCCTCCCTCCCCTCGGGGCCGGCCCGCGCACGCCCCCCGCAGGCCCTCGGCAGCACTGCGGCCCGGCCGGCCCCTCCAGCGTGGCTGCCCCTGGCGCTCGCTCCGGGCGGCTGCTTTCTTCCGTGGGCCACCGGAAAGCTCCCCAGTTTTCCGGAGTTCGGAGCGCTCGGAGGGAACGCCTGTGGCTAGTGACGTCTGGGCAGCCTGGCGGAAATTGCTAAATTGTTTCCTGGAATGGCTCAAGGGCAGGCTCCCTACGCTGCCGGCGTTTACAGCCCAGGCCTGGAAGCGCGCTGTGTGCGGCCCGACTGGGGACAGGAACCCTCGGGCCAAAATTGGGGAGAGCTAAAGGAACAATGAAGACGTTGCCAACGGCTTCACAAATTGAAATTAAGGAAACAGCCTCTTTGCAGATTTTTGCTGATCAGTACCTCTTCTCCCCACGTTCATTTTTGAATAAAACCTTTAAAGTACTCCCGTGCTAGGCCTGAAAGACTGACACATGGTCCCAGACATCAAGGAACCTGGTAGCTAGTAGTGATGCCACAATTATATGGAGTGCAAAATATATACATACAGTACTTACATATACATTATAAAAGTATTCTTTAATTGATTTTTTAGAGAGAGAGGAAGAGATTGAAACATCCAACAGGGAATAGGGGCATATATGCTGACCGGGCATTGGACCAGCCACGTGTGTGGGATGCTCAACCAACTGAGCCATACCTGCTGGGCTAAAAGATGCTATATTCTTTCTTTTTTTTTTTTTTTATCCTCACTGGAGGACATTTTTCCATTCTTTGTTCAGATAGAGTGGGAGGGAGAGAGAGGAAGAGAGGGAAACACTGATGTGAAAGGGACACATTGAGTGGCTGCCACGGCACAGCCCAACCAGGGCCAGGGACAAACTGCAACTGAGGCACGTGCCCTTAGCGGGAACTGAACCTGGATCTCCCTGGACCACAGGCCGAGGCTCTAACCACTGAACAAAGATGCTATATTCTTACATTTTGCTTCTTTGTGTAAGCTGTTATTGGGTCAGTGGGTGGACGTTTTACTATAAACTTTTTTTGATTGATTTTAGAGAAACAGATTTGTTGTTCCACTTATTTATGTATTCATTGGTTGATTTTTAAATTTTATCTTGTTTATATTTTTAATCCTCACCCAAGAATATTTTTGTCTTTATCTTCAGAGAGAGTGGGAGAGAGAGAGGGAGGGAGGGAGGGACAGACAGACTAACTGGTTGACTCCTGTGCAACCTGGACCAGGGCCATACAGAACCGAAACCAAGGCACGTCCCCTTGACCGGAATCAAACCTGAGACTCTGGTCTGAGGGCCCAGCTCTAACCACTGAGCAAACCAGCCAGGGCTCACTGGTTGATCTTTATATGTGCCCTGCCTGACTGGGTATCCAACCTGCAACCTTGGCATATCTGGATGCCACTCTAAGCAACAGAGCTACCCAGCCAGGGCTACTATAAACTTCTTAAATGAAGACTTATCTCTGGATATATGGTATAGCACACATAATTCTCATACCAAAAAATAAGCTATAAAGGAACCTCAAATACCTAAGCCTGGGAAGGCAGATTTTTGGATAAAGGCAGCGGTCTATGAAAAATGATACCACTGGTGTGAATGACCTAACCTGCCCTCATAGGAGGCAGTGAAATAGCAGTGTCTTGAGAAGCCATAAGGAAGCCTGAGGCAATAATACAAAACTAGTGTTTAAATTGTTTTACTTTTTTTGCATTCTGATTTTAAAATGTTGCACCATAATATTACTTTTCATGACTGAGCTTTTTGGCCAAAGTACATTTTGTGCCCAAGTTGAGTGCCTCTCACATCACCCTAATCCTGATCGTGGGTATCAGTTACTGATGGCTTCCAACCTCTCCCATGCTCCCAGCCAATACCTGAGCAGGATGGGAATTCTAGCACTAGGTCTTTCCTGTCCCAAGTGGGACAGACAGCCTTGGCTCGGGATCTAAATTGCCATCTAGCTTTTTTAGAACTGCACTGAACTCTGGAGCTCAACCAGTCCAATCCTTCCATTTCTTTCACAGATGTCAAACCTGCAATATGGTATGAAGACTTCAGCTTCTTCACCTTCATAGGTATCTCCCCTCACCCCGGCCCCAGTAAATCTCTTGCACATTTAATCACATCTTGACAACTGCCTCTGGAAGACCCAAACTGACACACTAAACACTGAAAGGAGTGTATTATAAATTAGAAAATGTGTAAGAATATAGACTTTTTTTTCAGATTCTTAGCTGAATGTATGAGATAAGGACATACAATGTTTTTAAAACAAAACACAAAGCCTTTGGATTTTATATGAAGTTTTTAATTAAATGAAAATTTATTCAGTTCAATTTATTTGAACTCATATCCATAAAGAAACAATCAACTTAAGGATTTGAAATAAAAATGACAACAATATTCTTTTTGGGTAAGGTGGATCATACAACCCTGACTGACAAGGGTACTAATATCTTTGTGAGTTACTACTTAAACTCTGCATAATCAAGTATATATCAAATTCATACTTGGTTTATACAGAATTTATCCAGTTCTAGCAAAGTTAGCATAATATGAGTAACCTTCCTTGAGTTTTATACTTTTGAAAGTCTGAAAGCTTAGATTTAATTATAACCACATGAAAATGATTACAGGTATACCTTGGAAATATTGCAAGTTCAATTCCAGACCACTGCAATAAAGTGAATATTGAAATAAAGCAAGTCATGTACTTTTTTGGGTTCCCAGTCATATAAGTTATGTTTATACCATACTGTATTAAGTGTGCAATAGCATTAGGTCTAGGAAGTATATACCTTAATTAAAAATATTTTATTGCTAAAAATGCTAACCATCAGCTGAGACTTGACAAAGATCACTGATCACAGATCATAACAAATATAATAATGAAAGTTTGAAATACTTAGTTACCAAGATGTGACACAGAGACACGAAGTAAGCAAATGCTGTTAGAAAAAAGGTGCCAATAGACTTGCTTGTCACAGGGCTGCCACAAACCTTCAATTAAAAAAAACAATATCTGGGAAATGTAATAAAGTGAAGCACAGTAAAATGAGGTATGCCTGTATCTTTACTTCCTGCAAATGTAATCAACTTTTAAAATAACTTAGGCAAACATCAATTTTACATAAACCTTATTAAGAGTCGGAGGAAATTGCAACTCTTCATCTAATTGCAGAGTCTAAACCATAAATCCAAATTGTATTATCTCTATTGTTATATCAAGCCAAGAAAATCTATTACAGACAAAAACAGTGAGTGTGAATCTGCAGGGTCCACTAAGGGGATACTTTGAAAACCTATTATCACATTAGCACTTAACAGCTATACAGAAATTATTTTAAAGTATGCTCCAAGGATCACCTCTTAACTGAAGAAATTAACCTTTAAAAAAAAGAAATTAACCTTCAGAAGTCAAGTGACAACTATTACCAACATTTTATATCTTAGGAAATAAAGACAAAGAAAGATTTAGGATTGAGTTGCCTATTCAAAATAAAAAAAATAAAAAAGATTCTGGCTTTATTTGAAATAAGGTTCATGTTCCCCCAAATCCCTTTCCATTTGGTTATATCCATTGGTCCACATTTCTACTTAGAAACCAATGCATTTCAAAGTTACCTCCATTTTGTGTCCAATATATATACAGAAGGGTGTGTGTGTATGTGTATATATATATAAATAAAATGTTTTTATTAATTTTTTAGAGAGAGAGGAAGAGATAAAAACATTGATGTGAGAGAGAGACATCGATTGGTCACCTTCTGCACACCCCCTACTGGGGATGGAGCCCAAAACCTGGGCATGTGCCTTGACCGGAAATCAAATCGGGACCTCTCAGTCCACGGGACACTCAATCCACTGAGCCACACTGGCCAGGCTTGTGTCCAATATCTTAATGTATTAGAATAGTATAGACAGATTCTTCTGTTGCTCATTTCTGGTAGGCCATTAAAAAAGTAAACACTTTGTGCTTTCTGTTCATTCTTCAGAAATAAAAATGAATGTAAAACTGATTATATTAAAATCAAAATTGTAAAGATATTTTTTCCAAAGTAGAAACAATTTGCTTGAGTTAAAAATGTTTTTTTTTTTTTTTCTTTATTGATTTTAGAGAGAAAGGGAGAGGGAGAGAGAGATGGAAACATTGATGAGAGAAAACATCAATTGGCCACCTCCTGCATGACCTCCCACTGGGGATCAGGCCCACAACTTGGGCATGTGCCCTGACCTCTTGGTTCATGGGTTGACGCTCAACCACTGAGCCACACCAGCCGGGCTTGACTTAAAATTTTTTCTTCATTTGGGTATTAAATTACCAAACACACACGCTATTTTAAATTTCAGCATTGTTTATCTTGTGTTGTCCCCAGGAATCTTATAATTATTTTAAGTCTACTTCCCTATGAAATTTGCTCTACCAAAATCAATATATAACTGATTTGACTAATTATAGCTAAAAGTGACAAAAATATTTTTAATGTAAACTAAGCATATACTTATGAGTTAGGTCTCAAGGATTTTGTTTCATAGGAAGGAAGCTCTCTATTATGTGGATCTATAAAATGATCCAAACTTCAGAGACAGGAAGCTGATAACTTGATTTATCTTAATGGCTTCGGTTCATGAATAAATGATAATGGTTTGTGTTTTACTTATAAAAAGAAATGGAATTTGTATAATGATATGAGTCCTAACTGCCACATTTATTCTACTTTTTAAAGGATTTCTCATTTCTAAGACATTCTTTGTATTATTATTTATAATAAGAAGTCTAAACTTTAATTGAAAGCCATTCTTTGACCACAGTTTGCCATCAGCTGAAATTCAGGAAAGAACACAGATCTGATCACCAAATCAATAAACCTAGCCACAGGCTGACTAAAAGCTTCCTTGAATCTTTTTCTTTTAAATTAAACCATTGCTGTTATTAATTATTTAAGCGAATGGCATGGTTATAGAATATAGAATATATTTTTGTATTCTTCATACAAAAATGCCCAAGAAACCTAAAAAAATCCATCACCATATTTTAGGAATCATAGTATGACTCAAGATATTGTAGTTTAAAAAAAATGGGGCTGGGGGGCATTAATGTACCGAAAAACTTCAGAGAGAAATAGAAAAGTCAAGTTTATTTCCTGACTAGTGCAGGATGACTCCCAAAGCGCTGTTAAGTGTGTGGTCCAGACTAGCTATTAGCAATTAAGTAGTTCCCTTTCTCTGTCAAGGCTTTTCCCTGAGGTAATGCCTAAATTCTTAAGTTTAATATTTTATCTTGTTTCTTTTAGCCTCATCCTCTCTTAACAACAAGTTTCACACCTTTCTATCATGCTGAATGCTTTCTCAACTCTAGAATTTACTTTTAAAACTGTCACAATATCTTAGAGCTACAAAATTTATATTTAGATATATTGGTTTCTTTCCATATTGTTCTCTCAGAACTTCCTCTTTTTACTTATATATCCATAATTACATTTTAAAATGATTATTGGATGCTCTTCCAAATATGTCCTCACAAAGTAACCGAGAAAAGGGTTAACCTTTCTAAATTCTGATCTCTTAATATTTAAAAAATTTATTATTACTCTTTTCATTTTCTTTCATGGTAAACAACTTCCTTCTCAAGTCCTTATAATTCTACTTTCCAGGTTTCTTTTTACTGTAGTAAATACCAAAGGAAAAATACAAACTATTTCAGAGTAAATGAGTCTCTTCCCTGCTCTCATTTATTAGATCATCTACTTCAAGGCTATATATATGGCAGTATTTTGAAAATGTTAACAGCTATTAATACCTTAAAATAAGAAAGCCAGAGAAAATATATCACAAACAACCAGTTTGGCTATATGAAAAGCTACTTAGATCTTGATTTTTATATAAACACCAATCTTTATCATTATAAAAGACAACATAATTATGCTTCATTTTTCTTTATAAAATTACCTTTTAACAGAATATTTGTTAGTTGGTCATCCTATAGGTTTTTCTGTATTGATAAAAAGTTATTTTTAAAGAAAAATATTTAAAGTAATTGTTTCATAGAAACAGAAAGTCTCATTATCAAATTCTGATAAAAAATTATAGTCATGGATAGAGTATTACCATACTATTAATTTTCTTTCACCAAAAATGAGTATTTAGGAAGTATAATATTGGTAAATAAGATAAGCTTCTCAGTGATCTGCAAAGTGCCACAATAAAGATGAGGTAGTATGAGACTTTTCTTTTGTAAGAGGGAAATATTATCTTTAGAAGAGATATTTATCCTGACATTGGTGTTGAGATCCTGAGCCTCATCCCTGCTAAGAGAGTTGCTATTCTAATAGCTACCCTTCATTGGAACCAAGACAATCTTGAGATCACCGAGAAAAAAAATGCTAGAAGATAATAGGAACAGATTTTCTTGGTTTTATTTTGTGATAATTGCTAAAAACTTACTTTAACACTATTATTGAAAAATGCCACCTTATATTAGCAGAACTGCAGGAAAGAGAAATGCTACTTTAACATAAACGCAATTATACTTAAAAAACATCTGTTCTAACTTGAAAATTTGAGTCAAATTTCTTTCAACCCAGGTAGAATCAGTTTCCTATTAGGGCTAAACTAACATCAAGAAAGTAATTACTACAATATTAAAAATGAGTTTACAAAGCAGTAAACAGCTCATCAGAAGAAACAATTGTCTAGAAAATGTATTACTGATGATTCTTTTAAAAAAGAGGGGATGGATATAATTTCAGTTATCTAATATAGGGATAATGATGTTTCTAAAAATGCTTGCCTGTTCTTGAGACAGTAAATTAAAAATATTACACCTGTTGCCCAGTACTGTTCAGTATGGCATAAGCCAGCCTCTCAAAATGTTTTCCTTTTTTTGAAGCCACAATAAAGGCATGTTAATTCTGAAGGTAGGAATAATTATTTGAAACCTGAAGATCAAAAACAATATTAAGGTTTCTGAATACTAAGCTCTATGTTTACTTCTTGAATCTTTATTCATGCACAATTTAAAATAATGAAAAACTACTTAGGGACCAATGAAAATTTGTGATTGTTTATAAACTGTGGCATTTCCCCAAATAACAAGCTGAGTTTCTATAAAAGAGCTAAGTAGAAGCAACAGTTCATAAGTAAATACAGAAAAACCCCATAGTTGTTTTAGTACTTTAGTAACCACCAGTTACTAACAGTGTTATTATTTTTAAAGCTTCCAGTGAGAAAGGAACAATATTTATGTTCTGAAGATAGTAACTCTTCCAGGTTTCAAGAGAGACCCATTCAAGGAATAAAAAAATGACCACGCCACATTGTAGAAGAATAAAGTAACCTCCAACAATGTCACGCTCTCATCTGATTCTTACTGATGAGATGAATAAAATTGTTATCCTGCTTTAGAGCCAATATTTAAAATACTGTAAAAACACACCAAGTTGGATTTTAAGCCATTTTGTTACTTCTAACATCCCTATTAGTCAATTACATTAGTATGGGTTGTGAATTATAACTTAGTTTTACTGAAGAATTTTAAAACTCTGAAAAGAGGGATGAGGAAACCTCATTTTATGTATAGGAATGTCAATGGCACAGGTTAACAAAGCATTTTACATATAGCAAAGGACACAGTATTATTTTTAAAGAAAATAATGAACTACAGATTAACTGTGTTTACAATGCCTACCAATTTTCATATATCCCTGGATCATATGCAAATTACAACTAAGAAAAGAAAAAACAATTAAGTATACACTCTATATGTTAAAAAGAAAAACCAAACACTTGGTCAAAAATATCCATTAACCCTTAGTGTGTAACCTTAAACAATTAGTGTATCGTAAGAAAAATAAACTGATCTGGAAGCAAAATCTAGGGCAGAGGTTTATTTTGGACTCTAACTGTTCTTGTAGAAAAATTCAAAGTAGTATTAAGAAAAATAAAATATTAAATTCCCACGTCCTTACCCTTTACCTAGCATTGTTGTTCGGGTGCATCAATCCTGAGTACTCTAACTTTTGATTTATAGTGATATTCCTTCAGATATAGTTTCATAGAAGAAGGAATTGGAAGGGCATCAATGCCATCATAAGTTGTACAATTACAAATAACTGTCCTGCATATATGCTGCAGGGAAAAGGGGAAAGTCCGAATTAAAGGAGTAGATAAAAGTGGTTCGAAGAACATACAGGCACTTGGGTCCTTATAATGTTCTAGGAGCCCAGTAATATCAGGAGAATGGAAGACACAAGGATCATGTGCATCAAAGCTAAAGTTGTGATTCCACTGTTCAATTCTAGCATGAAGAGAACGACTATACCGTCTAAAACTAACAGAGAATAAATAGTCTTCCTGTGCTGAGTCTCGAAGTAAAAAGGTACCCTCTGGTTTTCCTTCTAGTAGAGCTTCAGCTGCATATTTATCCATAACTCCCCAGTAACATGGATTGTTATTGATCTGAAGGAGATCGGGTACAAGACAGTGGACATAATCAATCTGGGTGTGGTACTTAGGAGTTGTTTCCAACTGAAGGATTTCTTCATCCATTTCCCATCTGGGTTTGTTTCTTTTCCTGGAACTTGTGCAAAGTGTTATAATTTCATCATCTGAATCCATATCACTATCTTCTGTACTGTTATTTGAAACCAGGTTCATCACAGAGCCAGTCATAGGACCACCTCTACATGAAGCACTGTTGGTGGTTATGACACAGGGCTGAACATTGGGATGTGAGAAACAGTTCACCTCTTCTTCCATGTTTCTTCGTTTTAGCTGACCATCCCTCAATTCATTCTGAGACAAATCTGTGCTTATCAATTCATCTGATTTGGGATTTATAGGAGCAGTGTGTCGTTTAATAAAATGCCACCTGAAGGCTAAATCTGATCGAGGTGGAAAAGGACACTTATCTAACATGAGTTCACTGATATGAATTTTTCTTTTAGATGGAAGCCCTGAAGAGTGCCGACTACTACAATTTTTTATTGGGAAACACTGCCCCACAGCATCTTGCAGTTTCTGTTTAAGCGATCGGCCTAAAAACCTATGCCCACAGGAATGATCTAAATCCAACTCGATGGATGAACAGCTGTGCTTTCTTTCTTGGCTCTGTAGAGGAACTTCAGTTTTCTCTATAGCATTTACTGTTTCAGCATCTGAACAACTTTCACTCTTTTTTGACCAAGATAACTTCTTTCCACTCCACACATAACCATCCCTTCTGTCAGCACTTCTACTCCGACTAGTTTTGGGCCTGACATCTAAATTTTTACTATTACTTTCACTATTTTCTGCCATTTTAATAAATTATCCACAAATTCCAGTGTTATGAATACTGCTTTTTCAGTTTTTCTGGCAGGAAGTTTCTTCTGGGCACTTTCTGGATGTACCTAAGGGGAGAAAAAAATTCATTAATCACTTTTCATTAATATTGTATAGTTTACATATTAAGCCCCAATTAGACCCAAGATGTAAAAGCATAATTAGTATAAGAAAAAGATGGAGTATTGCCCTGGCCAGTTTGGCTCAGCGGTTAGAGCATCGTCCAGAGAGACCCGGGTTCAGTTCCCGCTAAGGGCGCGTACCACGGTTGCAGTCTGTCCCCGGCCCTGGTTGGTCGTGCGGGTGGCAATCACTCGATGTATCCCTTTCACGTCGATGTTTCTCTCTCTCTCTGTTCCTCTCTCTTCCTCCTACTCTACCTGAACAAAAAATGGAAAAATGTCCTTGGGTGGGGATGATGAAAAAAAAAAAAAAGATGGAGTATTTAAATAAACCACTTTACCATATACTAATAATTTCGTAGTGCCATGGAATCTGAGTTACTTTCTCACAGCTAATTCTCAATATGGATCGGTAAAAGCCAAGTCTCCTTTATTAGCCAAACTATATGCCCAAAATGTGAATAATTTCTAGTCTTGAGGTACATCTTATACAAATCTCTTTTCCTCTTATTTTTTATTTCACGGCAAACCAGTGAATTCGTTGTAAGAGATGGTGAGAAATTTGTGAGCTGGTGTTTGAAGTCCACTAACCTATATAGTTCCTTCACTTCCCTCTCCTTGCTTTTATTCCTATTAATTGAAAATAGGAACAGTTTTAAGTTATAAAAAAGAATTAAATAAATAAATAATTGCTACAAATCGTACAAATGTCACATAAGCATTCCCAATGCAGTTTTTTTTTTTTTTTTTAAATCCTCATTGCAGGATATTTTTCCATTGATTTTTTTTTAGATAGAGTGGAAGGGAGGGAGAGAGAAACATCAATGAGTGAGAGAGGAACATTGATTGGTTGCCTCCTGCATGACCCTGGCCAGGGGTTTGAACCTGCAACCCAGGTATGTGCCTTTGACCAGAATCGAACCCTGGGGACCCTTCAGTCCCTGGGCTGATACTCTAACCGCTGAGGCAAACCAGCCAGGGCCCCATGCAGTTCTATTGAGGGGGTGGGGGATGTTTCAATTTTTATTTATAAGACACAAATAATAGCCATCATGTGTTTCAGATCACTCTGAGATAACCAGTGTTATCAAATTCCAGCAACCCACAAAATATTTTTTAGCTATTTTTCTCAAAGGGAAATATAAAATATCCACTGAAGTTTTAAAATGCTGAAAATGAAAAGAAATAAAGAAGAAAGGGAAGTTGGGGGGGAAAGAGCAAAGGAAGAAAAGAAGAGTAGGAAAGAGAAAGGAAGAAAATAAGGAAGGGAGAGGAAGAGAAAGAGGAAGTCTCAGACCCATGGCTTCCTAGTTCCTTTGGGATTCAGAGACTCAGGTTTTGAGAAACACCAATTTTAGTCAGTGGAGTCCGAGTATCTTCTCAGAGTAGGATAGTTATTTTCTTTTTCTTTTTCTTTTTAATCCTCACCCAAGGACATTTTTGCATTTATCTTCAGGGAGGGAGGGAGGGAGGAAGAGAGAGAAACACTGATATGAGAGAAACCCATCGACTAGTTGCTACCCACAAGACCCCAAATGGGGCCGGGGACAAACTGCAACCAAGGAACATGCCCTTAGCAGGAAGGGAACCCGGGTCTCTCTGGTCCGTGGGGTGACACTCTAACCACTGAGCCAAACTGGCCAGGGCAGTTATTTTCCTTTTCAAAGTAGGATAGGCATATGTCCTTAATCTATTCTTTGGTTGGGGAAGGACTATATGCTGAAGAAATCTTCTAGCTCAGGCAAGCTCCTAACCACAAGTTCTTGGCCAATTATAAACTTTTTGGAGTTGAAGTGGTGGTATTTGGCATCAGGTGAATTTCAGCGTCTACTCACATTTTGATGCCACAAGCTTTCAGGGAGGAGACATCAGGCCAACTCGAGGCAAAATGAAATTAAACACCTTGACAAGGTTGTAATCTGCTTGAAGCCAGGGACTCTATATACTCTATGTCACTTTTTTTCTCCAATATCACTACAGAGTTTGGCACACAGTATAAATGGACTGATGATAACGTATTTAAAACCATTAAGTATTATAAGCCACCTGATGAAAAAAGCATCAATTCTTTAATCAATGACCCTTAAGGTATGTGTGAAAATGGGCAATGTACTATATGTCCATGATTTAGAAATATGATTCATTTTTAATGTTCAAGTTAAGACTTCAACAGTTGACAAAACTCAGACAATCCCAATGTAGTTTTGTCAACTGATTTCAATAACTTCACTATTAATCTTGGCAGGTTTTGGAAAATATAGAATTGGATAAGAATTTGTTATTTCACACACACACACACACACACACACACACACACCCATTCATGTATTGTTGATAATTTTGACCAACAAGCAGATAAATTTCTATAGGGCAATGCCTTTCCTGTGAAACTGGCTAGATATACTAAAATTTACAATGTAAAATATTGAGTTTTATTAAGACTAATACTAACGATTGGTCATAGATGGAATTTACTTGACTAATCTTAGGTGGAGTGAGTCCAGAATTGGGGGGAAGGGTTCTATAATTTTAAATGTTTTAAAATTAAAGTTGAATTTTGTGACTAAGAAAATAAAGCACACTCAACATTCTGATTATGATTACATTTCCGATTATGTCAGAGGAACATAAACAATCCCAGAAGTAAATGTTAGAGCCACTTGAATCCTTTTCAAACAGTAGGGTTTGAAACAAGCATCTGCAGTGGCAAATATAATTGTTACATGCTTAAAAGTGTGAACTAATAATACAGACTTACAGATTTGCCATATAAAATACTCCATTTCTAAACACTGAATAGCATCTAGTGATTATACTTATTTATTTTTTATCCTTACCCGAAGACATTTCTGCATTTATCTTCAGATAGAGTGGGAAGGAGAGAGGGAGAAAGAGAGAAACATCGATGTGAGAGAGACACATCGAGTGGCTGCCACCCACACGACCCCAACAGAGGCAGGAGACAAACCACAACCAAGGTTCGTGCCCTTAGTGGGAACTGAACCCAGGACTCTCTGGTTCACAGGCCAATGCTCTAACTGCTGAGCCAAACCGGCCAGGGCTATACTTATTATTTTGATTTAGTGAGCTCATGGATATATAATCATTTAAAATCCATAGGGAAAAATATTTTAAAATCTAATTTTAAATAAAAGAAATATCATCAGTACACTGAAATTATATTTAGCTGTATGCTTTGTTTACTCACAGACTAAATTCCACTCAACAGAAATAAACAAGGAGAAGCAATGAAGTAGGCTGAAGAAAATTAAGTCACTGATTAGAAGAGACACTTTTTACTGCCTGAGAGCTTACACTTCAATATCTTTTTCAAAATAAAAATAATAATGAGTCCCAGCAGATATTTTTTTGGTTAATATTATATATTTTCAACTTTTTTACTCAGCACGATAATGTGAAAAATATACCATCTAAGGTATGAAATACATGGTGCTTTTACTTCTTAAAAAAATACCAAAATAGCAGTTTATTAGATATATGACCACCTTTAGTCCAGTGGGTTTGAGTTCCATCTTGCCTCTTTGCTACCTCTAAACTGTGTCCATTCTAGCCCTGGCCGGTGTAGCTCAGTTGGTTGACCACCCTCCCATGCACCGAGAGGTTGCACATTCAACTCCTCAGTCAAGGCACATGCCTGAGTTGCAGACTGGATCCCAAGTAGGGGGGGGTCCTGCAGAAAGCAGCCGATGGATGTTTCTCTCTCCTTCCCTCTCCCTTTCTCTAAAATAAAAAAAAATATATTAAAAAAATAAATCAATATATTGGGTCAGTTCTACATCACAGCTAAGCTCTCTATCCTCTTTTCTTTTTAAAAGAGAGAGGAAAGGAGAGAGAGAAACATCGATTGGTTGCCTCCTGCATGTGCCCTGACCAGGGATTGGAACCCACAATCTGGGTAGGTGCCCTGACCAGGAATCAAACCTACCACCTTTCGGTGTATGGGTTGGTGCTCCAACGAACTGAGCTATACAAGCCAGGGCTAATCTCTATTCTTGATAACATTTCCTACCTTTACCAGAGTCTACTTCAATTTTTCTCTGCCTTCAGACATAACTAACTGTCCTATAAAATCTTTTAGTGATTCTAATGCTTTCTTTAGTTAAAACTGCTGCTTTTAATTACTAAATTTCTTAATGAGTAGTGTAACTTGATCTCCCCTTTAAATGAAAACAGCTGTTATTTTTCTGATTAGAAAAGAAAAATGATGTTTTGAAAATGTCTTAAAAATATTTTAGCTCCATCCTTTTCCCAGAAGCCAGCCCAAAACAAGAAAAAGAGAGAGAAAGAGAGAAATAAAAACACAGATCTCATCTTCAACGAGACTAGAAGATATCTATAATTTGAGTTACAAAAGATGAGGACAGAAAACGAATGGAGGAGCAATAACTGACTCAGCAGTGGAGAGGCAGGTGACACCAGGCACAGAGGCAACATGAACGAGAAGCAAGTCAGAACAGGCAAAGTCCAAGACCCAGCGGCACCAGGTGATACAGAAAGTGTGAGTAGAGAACAGGGTGGAAAATGGGAGGTAGGTTGAAAATCTGCTTGAAAATAGATCGCTCTGGTTATTACTCCCCCACTTTGAGTAGATTTATTATTTGGAGAAACTGAACCAGAGAGGTGTGGGACTTTGGATACAAGACACAGCAAGGCTAGAGGGGGGCTTCAGACTAAAATCTGAATGAAAGTTCCCTGTTCCCTTAGCAGCCAGACTTATATCTCCTAATAAAAAAACTGGAAGGCAAATTGCAACCAAGGGTACATACCTCGGTTGAAGTTTGTCCCCCCCCCCATGCCTTTGGGGTCGCGTGGGTGGCAACCACTGGATGTGTCTCTCTCACATTGATGTTTCTCTCTCTCTCTCTTTCCACCCTCTCTCCCTCCCGCTCTGTCTGAAGTTAAATGCAAAACAACAACAACTGGAA